GCCCAGCCTATTTGCATATATTTATACTTTTCTTTGATGTGGAAAAGCAAGTACAGTTTGAAATCCTCATGGAATCGGAACCATACATTTCATTCTCAAACCCCAGTATAGTTTTGTACCTAGAAGTCTTTTTTCTAACCTTGACTTTCTTTAGGGAAAACTTGTTATTGGACACAATATGCTCTTGGATGTCATGCACACAGTTCATCAGTTCTACTGCCCTCTGCCTGCGGTAAGTGGCTTGTCAGCCTGCATTAAAAATAGATGATGCTTTTTTACTGAGAAAATGTTCTGTACTTGGGTGCCGTTTCCTTGTATGCAGCATGTTCCCAGAGAAAGAATGTTAATACACTTGGTTGTACTTATTTGACAGGATGTACATGCAAACCATTTTAAGGGCTCTGCAGTCACTGCCATTGTTAACGTTTGTTTCATCGTCCTAATACCAGTTGTTTGCTCATTTAGTGCTGAGTAGGGGTTCCAAGGCCACAGGTGTGGGCTGCTAGTTTGGTACTGCTAAAATTAGACATACCAGGGCCATTGATGGGAAGTGGTGTCTGCTGCGCTGAATCAGGTCCTACATAATTCTCAATTGCCTCCTGCTAGGTTGCTTCCCTTAGATTCTCTGTTGACCTCAGTAGTGTTTTTTCACTCTGAGCCAATTTGTCTCAGTTCACCAAAGCACAAGCTTGCTTGGTTCCTCTTTTGGCTCTTCCTGTCCTGCTGGCCGACTGTACATGCTGTGCTCTCCTCTCTTTTCTCTCCGTATTTTCTTTAGTGATCTCACCCATCTTCATAACTTCAGCCATGGACACCAACGTCTTTATCGCCAGCGGTGCTCTCTCTTCAGATCTGGGTCTGCATTTCATGCTGGATTCCAAATATCTCCACCTGGACAGCCCTCAGACTAAGTGTTGTTTAAAATTTATGTGTCTCAGATGGGATATTTAACTTACACTCCCTTTCCTGCCTTCTTACCATCTCCAAACCTGTTCTTTCTCCTCATTGTGTCACTATAAATGATACCCAGTCACCAACCCTGTTTTTAGCATCAATTTTGACTCTTCCTCTGTTCCCAGATCTGGTCAGTTACAAGATCCTGACAATTTCGTTTCCATGCTATGCTGTGTCTCACATCTGAGTTCTTTTCATTTCTATTGCAAGCAGCCTTATTTCTCACCTGGAGTTTAGCAAACTCCAAGCAGGATTCCTGTCCCCTTTTAACCTTCAGGCAAACTTTTTCTATAAAGGGCCAGATTGTAAAATATTTTGGGCTTCCCAGGCTGTATAGTATCTGTCACAACTCTCGACTCTGCCTCGTAGCACTAAAACTACCGTAGGACACATAAACAAATGGGTGTGGCTGTGTTGCATAAAACTTTATTTAAAAAATAAGTGGTGGGCCAGATTTGGCCTGCAAGCCATAGTTCGTCAACTCCTACGTTAAACTGCCACCAGATTATATTAATCTTTTGTTACTTCTGGATTGGAAAACACCTACTTGAGAGTTCAGTTTCATTTATACATCTGCAAACCTTCAGTAACTTCACATTTCTTAGATCACATTGTTCCATCAGCATCTTGATTGCCCTCTTTTGGAAAAATACAATACAGCCCAGCCGTGAGTATAGTGGGGCTGTTGCTCCTCTTGTCCTATTTCTGCAACCTTAAGTTGTCACCACTTTTCATGACAACCCTGTCACCTTCTGGGACTCAAAGTCTTTGTGGTTGTGAGTCTCAAAACGAGTGTGATGGGTGGATTTGCATTTTTTAAGTCTAATGAGCTAATGTTTATTTCAGATCACCTACTTTTTATTGGCCAAATAGACCAAAGTAGCAGCTCCTCTCCTGACTTTTTGACCTTTAAAGCAACTAAGTTATCAGTAAGGAAAGTATATTTAATGCTGTGTTTCTGGGTGTTTTGAATACCAAACAGAGCTTCGCACATAGGAAGCATTAAATATTGACTTAACAAATGAAGTATCTCTGACTGTGCTAGTTTCGTAATCTTCTGATGTATGGCTCTGTTCACATCACTGACTCTGCTCAAAATTCGAAAGTAATCCCGTGTTCTTTGTTTTTCTGTACACTTGACTCTCTTTAACCTGACATGTCAGGATTCCTGTGATTTGGCCCAGCCTTTCTGTATAGTCTAACCGCTTGTTATTCTCCTTCCCAACTGGCTCATTTGTTTCCTAAGAAGTGCTTTGTGTTTTCCCAGGTCTGTGGTTTTGGTATATAATTTCCTCCAACTTGAATTTTCTCCAGCTTTTCTCAATGTTTGCTGTACACAACTTTACCTTATCTTTCCATGGTTCAGCTTATGCCTCCTCTGTGAAGTTTTTCCTGACTGCTGCCTTGCCCAAGAGGTGATCTTTCCTTTCTCTGAACTCCCACAGAACTTTGTACCTGTGTGCTATATGAAATTTGTCTTGTATCATGCAGCATAACCCCCCGTCTCATTCTAGGTGTTTATCTCCTTGGACAGGAGTATAGCCTTTTTATTGTCTGTGTCTAAGTGCCTAGCATAGCATGTTGTATGTAAGCACTTAATGAATGTTTAATTGAACGAAACTCGTCTTGAATTAAATTCTAGTAGGAAGAGCACATGATTTGTTGCAGACTAGAAGGTGGGTTAGGATAAGCAGTTTATCCCTTGCTTTATTACTAAGCCTACCTGGGTATGTTACGTAACTTCTTTATGTCAGAGGGAGAAAATGGTTTTCTTCTATCTACTTTTGGAACAATTGATGAGAATAAATGAGAAAACATATTTAAAATGGTAGAACAAGCAGGGTGCAGTGGCATGTGCCTGTAGTCCCAGCAACTCGGGAGCTGGAGGCAGGAGCTTCACTTGAGTCTAGGAGTTTAAGTCCAGCCTGGGCAACATAGCAAACCCTGTCTCCCCTAAAAAAAAAAAAAATAAAAGGTAGAACTTTTACATGTACTGGCACCAAAATGTGAGTTTAAAAAGGACACTAAAGAACCAGTGTTTGGGAGCTGCCTTTTAGGGGAGTGTCTCTCCTTACAAGTTACCTTGGTACTTGAGCATGATCTTTGAGAAGGCGTTGGTCTAGAACTCTGCTCTATGTTGGCCTTGGAGGCAGCCATAATTTTCTCTTTTCTTGCTTGTAAAGCTTTATGGTGGTATTGAGAGTTTACAAACAGTCATTGCATTTTTGTTTGACTTAGCATTGAAACCACTTGTTCATGTATTGCCCATTAATTTAACTATAGCCGTTGAAAAGCTGGTAAATATTTCAAGCTAGCTAAATACAGTGTGTATTTACAGGCTTGAAAAGCTAATTGGAAATGGCAGTTTCCTATGAAGCATGAATAACATTGAAGAGAAGTGTAGTTTGCAAAGGATCAGGAGTATGACTGCTCAGTCTAGCATGGCAATTATGTATGTAAATGAGTTAATTCAAAATTAGAGCAGTCTTATTTCAGCTCAAGACTTCCTTATCAAAATAAACTTGAAAAATGAATTGTCTAATCTAGGCACTTGCCATTAGCACCACTTTAGCAATTTTCTGAGTAGTTAAAACAGGAATCATGTGCATTGAAAAGCCTGTATTTTAGTGGTCATTTTTACTAACATTTCAAACGTGATCTCAGTAAAGGTCTAAGCTAGTTTATGGTTTGTCCATTTCCTGTAATTAAATTAAAACCATTTAATTTAAATGACTCACTCGTCTCACTATTATGATAAATTTGTGTAGTAGAGTGCAACCTGTTAGCTATTACTAGAAGTTTTCTGGACTGCTTATGAGCCTCTCAAATATATGTGGTCTTTTACATATAAAAGAACTCCCTCCCCCCAATTTGAACTATATAATCCTTAAATTGTCTATTTTGGTTATGCAAAAGTTAGTTATCGGGTCACATGGTTCCCAGTCAGTGAGGAAATTGGGAAGATTTTTTAAAAAGTAATTGTTAATTAGAAATGGATTTTTCAGTTTAGCTTAAGACCTGTGTGAGGTGTGACAGTTTGAGAAGACAGCTGTGGAACTGAGCTGTTTACATATGTTTTTTGATACTGTTAGCATATTGGGAAAATTGTAACCAGTCTTTCTGTTGGTTTTTTAGGACTTAAATGAGTTTAAAGAGATGACAACATGTGTTTTCCCCAGGTAAGCTATCTTTGAGGATTTGTCTTTCATTTAAAACAGTCATCGTGATATATACAATGTAGATAGGTATATAGTAATTTGTAAAAACCCTTAGGTCATGATTAGAATCCAGTTCATATAAGCCTGGAAGTTATTTAATATCTCCAACTTTGTGATGGTTTGCTTTTAAAATTTATGATTGGTTTTGTTATCCTATTAAAAATCAAAGTTTGAACTGACAGTGAAAGTAGACAGCGACTCCTTTTTTCGATTCCACTTCTTCCTGTCTGAAGCACTGGTGAAGCTTCCTTGAGATGGCTCTTGTCTGTCTTGCATGTAGGATGTACCTTGTAACTATTCAAGTGTCCAATTCAGAGTACTCTAGTCAGTCAAGAGCTGTCTGGCTAGAGATTTTTTTTTCTCCACTTTAAGTCAGTGCCTTTTTGTGTTAGTGGTTTCCACAGTTAATATTGCATGTTCTGATATGTCACGTGTCACATGTCTCATAGATCTCATGTCAGCCATGTGGTGCCTGTAGAGCAAGGGTCTGTGTTTTAGGACCCATTGAAGAGAGACAGACATAGTGGCCAAGCAGTTGCTCTTTCAGCAGGACTATTTGTCCTGTTTTCCAGAGTGTTCACAGTTATGTGAAAAAAATAGAGAAATAGAGTTTTCATATTAGTGAAATGAATATTTGTCTCTTTGTCTCTCTCTTTTTGGTATTTCTGATCTCTGAAATAGAATAGTGCGAAATAACAATTACAGCACAAAACTTACTGACTGCAGATTTTGTCCTCCATAAGAGCGGGGAGCGTATGAACCTGGGTGGTAGCAGTGGTGGTAACAATTTGCTAATGTTAGACCTGCAGCAGTATTGGAACCATGTAAAAACATGTAAGGGGTTTTGACTTACCCTTGAGATTGACGTAGCCCACATCTAAGTGAATCTGGAACTTGTGCATCGGAGCGTGGACTCTCTTCAGCTACCTGATGAAGTCCCTGGTCACGGGACTGAGTCCCCAGCCTAATGTAGCACGGATGCCAGTGCTAGGCTCAAAATGGTTCATGTGTGTAGTTCCTCTTTCCACTTTTAAGTATTTTATGTGTT